TGGCGAGAAGCGCGAAATTACACGCATTTGTGCAAAACAACTAGACAAAATTGAGAAATAATGTAGTGTTTCGTTGGAATTACTTTACGAACGGTAGTAGAATCACAATGATGTAAAATAACTTAGCGATGTTCCATCTTTTGATCTCAAATAACCTCGACAGATCAAATGTTTGACTAGGAAATTCGATCAGGTCTCATTTTACGCTAAGCGCTTGCGTGATTTGCATGTCTGTCAGAAGGCTATGCAAACTTTTGTGTTATCATGCATTTTGCCAGTACATGTATGCGTCTGAGATCATTTTGCCCGACTCGCTTGCATCTGACTTTGCTATGCTGAATGGACAGCTAAAATTAGTTTCAAAACTACATTGCCAAACTTTACACACATTAGCTGGGCATGTGATTGGACAAGCAATCACTGAATCCCTTCTGACACCAGAATTCTTGAGAACGACTCTCGTTCTCTGCATGAAGATCTAAAGCAACTTTCATCGCGCGTTCCATAAACTAGATTTCAACACATAATCAGATCTGCACAGACGTGTCTACGCCGCATATCATGTTGGCTTTAACCCAAATCCTTAGAGATCAGTAATCAGTCAGGCTGCGTTATTCAAACTTATTTTTGTGCAATAACTCCTCGCTCTTGCAACAGTCGTTCGTTACTACTGATTTCTGCTCATTCATTCCGACAATCGATGACAACTGACATACCATTCTAGAAATTGTACAGCGTTTTGCAGAAAATTAGTAGTCAAAGAAGATTGCAACCTTCGAAATGTGTCTTCCTTACACTTCCATGATGGGGACATGGGAGCGCCTTTTTCATTAAGTTAATGGTTGTCCACAGATAACCAATTTCCATGCAGCCAGCAAGGAATGCCATATTTTTCAAGGGAGAGTCTACATCCATGTGAAAATTATAATGTGTAATCTCATGTTTCCTTCTCACAAAAAGCCACCTATTTATGATCTCGGAAGGAAGAAAGACGAACAATAACGACTGAAGCTCGAACCCAGGACATCTAGGTTCTGAGTTTATGGTTCTGTGTACTGAGCAAACCAGATGCGAAACAAGGTGTGACAAATTCCTTGTTCATTGGAATTAATAAGGCAAAAATTCCCTTCCAGTGGAATCGAACCTTACCTCCGGACTTCGAAGAAGATCTGTTATGTACTACGCCACATCACCAACAAACAGAACAGACAACAACAACAACAGATCAAAAATCTAGTGCTGCATCCACCTGAAGATATATTAATCCATTGGATTTCAATAACATTTGAAACAATTAGGAAAGGAATTATTACCAGGGCCAGTGAAATGCAACTGGAGTTTCCGCACCTGGCGATTCGCCGAAGCGGGAAAGCTGTAAGAAAGGGTCGCAAATTACCCCATTACGTGGCGAAAGTCCCCTCCCTCCCATCGAAGCTTCGTTTACAACAGAAAACTAGCCAGCATCGATAACCACATCAGACGTTTCCAAGTTCAAACAACTGTCCTGGTGGCGATCAATAATGAGCGAAGTGCAGGCTGTCTGTTACTCGTTTGTGTTCACGCTGCTTATAATTCATGTCCTGTTCCCGGCGTAAGAAAATTTGGCAACCCAGCGCGGCTGAAGAGCGCTGCCTGCCTCAGCAGCCGTTAAACCGTAGGCCTGCCACTTCGGTGAAAGTTCGCCAGACATAAGTAAGCTGCCGAAAGTTCCCCGCCGGCTGCACTTGGAAACAGTGTCCCCAACCACAGACTTCAAGCACGCAGCGGTGATGCGTTGTGCGCAATGCTAATAGCTAAAACGTAACTCAATTTGAAACCATGCCCTGCAGGTTTGTTCGGTAGTTGCTCAGGAACGACGAACGTTATGACAATATCATTTTCAATTCTCTGAACATTACGTCATTCATGACATCAACGAACAGTGACTAGTCAAAACAGGCTTGGGGTCTACATGAAATCTCTCAGCATCAATGCATCAGTTTCACCCTCATCATCTGTTTCTTAGAAACGACAGGAATCATAAAAGTGCATGACACAACTTGCTTAAATAATTTACTTAAAAAGTGCTTCACCACAAGCATAAAAATTTTTAATGTATCGTTGAGCGAAATCCACTGCAATTTCAAAATTCACGCATTGTAAAAAGCAAAACGAAATTCAGTTTTCACTAAGATATGCATACATTTAGCTTATATCAAGGCTAACACTTCTGTCCACATCTTCGTAAGACACATATACACCGGATGTGAGGAAGGACCGTGACACAAACCAGAACGTAGAGAGCCAAGGAGGGGTGAAATGGTACATTCGTTAACACAGGAAGGTTTAGGACCTTGCTTACGAGGCGATATTTTCTACGGACGATCAAGTACATGGTCCATAGACAAAACGTATCTACATTCCTACTTCGCTTAAGCCTTACTGCATCTATTATAGTAGCTTCTCGCTATTTTTTAAGTCAAAGCTAACTTTGCTGAATGCTAACTGTCTCGTAACTAAGTTCCACGTTCACATTCGAAACCGAAACAGCGTTAAATTCCTTTTTGTTCATCATTTTTCGACCGAAGTAATCTCGTTGTTTTAATTTACCAGAACTACAAATAGACTTTCCTGTTCAGTCCCAAACTGCATTCATTTATTAACAAATCACGCTACTTGCAACGCATAATCTGACAATGAAACAAGACATTAAATTTTACCCTACTTCATAATCGAGATTGAACTGTTTCAGGGACCGCACCATACGCAAATACCCATCAGTTTCATTCGCAGCCACTGTAAAGACTCGCAAGCGACCGACATTATTGGAAGCTACTGCTTTTGATAGCAAAATTAGGAGACCTATGCTAACCAACATAGTTAACAGACGACCAACCGACGAATCTGAGCAATTGAACTGGAAGCGAGCGCGCTAGTTCGATAACTAGGCTAGATTTCTGAAACAGTATACTGTTTCTTTGCAATATACATTCTAATGAACCATTGTCTGTAAAGGCGGAATCCAGTAAAAAACTGTTGTTTTCCTTGTCGTATTTTAGAATAGTAAATACTCAAATCACCGTATCAACTAATTTTTAAAGGGGTTCTCGAATTTCAGCTGTATGTTACGAGAGTCACATATATGCAATGACACCCGTGAATATCGTTCTGCTTTGTACTCTACTAGTTCGGTTTATAATCCAATCTTCATGCAAATTTTTTTATTAACTGTTGATCCGTATCAGCAAAATATTTACTCCATCTTGTTACTGCAACGACAAGAGAAACAAGTCAAGTCGATTCTTCCTGAGCAAC